ACTTATAAAAAACCTACGATTTAACCTTAAAAACCATCAGCTACTTTTTTGCTAAAACTTCTACACTTGGCCCAGTCATCATCATCTGGTCAACTTCTGGAAGGTTTTTACCTTAAGATCGACTATGTGCAGCATTATATAGAATCGATTATATATTTATATATATTTATTATATGTATATATATATATATATAAATATATTAAATGTATATTATCCATTTTATTTAGAATGTGAACCGGTTTGCCTTACATAGAGCTTTCACTTGAAACCGACGCTTGCATAAAGCTGTATAATTACTCGGCTTTTTTAACTAAAATAGTACAAGGAGCTGATCTATTCGTGTTTTATGTATTGTGCAAACATCGAGTTAGATTTTGCAATTTTATTGAAGATCGAGTGACCAAGAGAAAAAAAATCTACAATGTTGCAGAAAATTATGAAAAAATATCTGTTTGATAAATGTGATAAATATTTTATAATATGAAACTAAAATGAAATAATTTTTTTGGCTAAGTAGCTAATTAGCAAAATTAATGGATTAATTAAAGTTAAGATATATAATTAAATATAATATTTGATGCATCAAGTTAGGTCTAAAATGTGTCGACAAAATAGTAATTTTTATAGATAGTGTTCAAAATAAATTCATAACTGGTCAAAGTCATATGACCCATTATTTTTTTCAAAAAGTGTCTAAATTGAGTATTAGCTATCCTGAAAGATACTGTGAGAAATATCGTACTAAATTTGCAAAGTTCTTGTACAAACAGTGTGTCCTGCAAAGTTCTCCAAAATGTCCTTTTTTCTTAAGACATTAATAGAGTTGTGCGCGGATGCCAATGATATTAATTATAAGTCTTATTTTTTTTAAAAAGGTTATAAATTTTATAATTTGTTGCTATAGTAGATACTTTTAGAAAAATTACGTTGAGTTTTCAGGTTTATAGTGCGTCCTGTAGAGCCCCTCAAAATATCCCTCTTACTAAAGAGAGAGTTACATACGATGTTTGCAGTTGTCGATATTATTATTAATTACTCGAAATTTTGTCAGAAGAGCTATCAATTTTAGTATCTGTTCTCATAATATATATCTTGGAAAATATTATATTTAAATTTCAAGGTTCTAGTACAAGCGATGTGTCCTGTGGAGCTTTTCAAAATATCCTTCTGACTAAAGATAGTTATATACGACGAAAAGAGTTATATACGATATACCATGTACGGTTGTCGATATTGTTATTAATTACTCAAAATTTTGTTAGAAAAGCCATCAATTTTAGTATTTGTTCTCATAATATATATCTTGGAAAATATTGTATTTAAATTTCAAGTTTTTAGTATAAACAGTGTGTCCTGCAGAGCTCCTCAGAAAATCTTTCTTACTAAAGAGAGTTACATAAGTCATCAATTTTAGTATTTGTGTTTATAAAATAGTCTTTGGGGAACATCTTATTTGAATTTCAAGTGTGTAGTAAAAACAATGCGTCCTGTAGAGCTCTTCAAAATGTGCTTCTGACCGAAGAGAGTTATATTCAATGTCGTATGCAGTTGTCGATATTATCATTAATTACTCGCATTTTTTTCGAGAAAGGACATCAATTTTAGTATTTTTATTTATTATATATATCTTGAAAAATGTAGTAGTTGAATTTCAAAGTTCTAATACAAACGATGTATCCTGTAGAGCTCCTCAAAATTAAAATTTCAGCAAATATAATATTTTTCGTTATTTTTTTTTTTTTGAAGGATCTTTATGCTGAAGAAGGTGGTGACAGGGAAAAGAGGAAATTGGAAGCTGCCACACAAATTGGATTTGGTGCCAAAAATGCTATTTTAGGATTCATCTTTGGTGTAAGTAATAATTTTAATCAAATTTATATATTTTTGGTGATTTTGGCAATAATACAAATTTAACGCTAATTTACATAAATATTGTACCAGATCCTCTTTATCTCATTGGTACCTAAATATTTTTCCACCAAAAATAACATAGAAAAAATGCGAAATTTATAATATAATTCTTACTCATTCAAGTAAACCTTTTAAAAACTAATCAACATACCTAAGTTTTTGAATTTTTTAAATTTTCTTCATATTAATTTTTTTTTTCCTTTAAATTTATTTTCCGGGGGCTTCGGCGTGCACATGCACGCAACCTGAAACAACCGCCCGTTCCAGGTTGCGATGCGATCAGGCCAAAACGCTTGGGAAAATCACAAAATCATAATTTTTAACAAATTTTAATACTAACTATATATATATATATATATATTATTTTATCGATTTAAAATCTATTTTGCCTTATCAATAATTAATATCAACGTTTCTATATACTACAAATTATGATTTTTTTTTTTATAATTATGCATTCGCCTGTTTGTTATATGGTCGTATAGCTTTCACTATAGTAAAATCACATTGAAAATGAATGGAGTTTGTTAACATATTTTTGCTATATCATTCTCGATTGACCTATTACTTAATATTATATATGGCAAAATTCTTTAGTAACGGTGATTTGTGACATTTAGTAAAATATTTTGTATGCATGTTCTATATTTTGATGCAGATAAAATACATTTATTATGGCAAAGGGTAATGCACTTTAGTAAATATTTAGAAAATTAATCTAGAGAATAAATATGTAAATGCTTAAATTAATTTAAAAATAAATATATAAATAACCGCATGAATACATTGATACGCAAAAGTGTGAATTAATAGAGTAATAAATAATTCAATAATTAAACGACAAATTTACTAAATAAATATGGATCCATTACCCATGTAATTAAATAAACAAATCGTTTAACAAAACGTGACCATTATTTTTTTGCTCGAGTTTTTTTCTTCGAAAGTAATTATGTCATGGGTGACTTGCAAGAATTTCTTGATTTT